TTGAACCGCCAGCCTTCTGGTTAGCAGTCAAGTGCCTTAGGCACTGTGCTACCAGAGCTCCCAGTGACCCTATAGGACAGAGTAAAACTGTCCCATATATTTTTCTTAATTGTGAATTGGGTGAAAGTTTACAGAGCAAATTCACTTTCCGCATAGCACTTCATACATTTTGTTTCATGACATTGACTACAATTCCCCACAATGTAATAGCTCTCTTCCCACTTCCTCCCTGTAGTTACCTCTTCCCTGTGTCCTTTTTTCCTATGCATTCCTACCCCGAGCTATCACGACTGCCCTTCTGTTTACCCATGATTGACCATTCTAAGTAGTTTATCTACTTGATGTAAATGTTCATCCTATATGCCTATCGTTTGGCTGGAAGTCATGGGAGTACGTTCAATTCCAGACCTGGAGGATAACTAGGGGCCATAGTCTCAGGGGTGTCACCAGGCTCTATCAGACCAGTAAACCTGGTCTTTTTTTTTTTTTTTTTATGCTTTTGTTCCACATTGTTCTCCTACTCTACCCAGGATCTCCTGCATTGATCCTTTTCTGAGTGGTTGACAGTGGTAGCCAGGCACCACCTGGTTCTTCTGGTCTCATGGTTACATATAGGCTGAGGTCTGCATGGTCCACTAGTCTGTGGGACTAATCGTTTCCATGCATCTTTGGTTTTCTTTTTCTTTGCTCTGGATGAGGAGACCCATTGCTGCATCTAGGTGGTTGCTTGCAAGCTTTTAAGACCTCAGTCACTACTCACCAAAGTAGGATGTAGAACCATGTTTTTGTATAGTATGTTATGCCAATTGAAGTTGATACCCTCTGCGACCATGGTCCCGAGCCCATAGGTCCAACAACTTGCTCCATCGGAATGCCTGACTGTGCCTAAGTTATCATAACTTTGCCCCGTTAGTTCTAGTTATTTTTACGTTCTTCTGTCCCATAGAATTTCCAAGGCCATAGTCTCTATGGAAGAAGACTGCCACATCTTTCTTCCATGGAACAGCTGGTAGATTCAAACCACCAATGTTTCAGTTAGCAGTCAAGCACTTAACCATTGTGCCACTATGACTCCTTGAAAAGACCTAGAATATTGGCAGGATTCAGAATCAGTCCATATCAACTTGGACACGGGAGACGTATGTCTAACTCCTCTGGGCATATCATGTTCTGAAGTCCCCATTCCAGAGTTAACAAACTCCATAAATCCCACCTCTAAAGCAGGTAGTGAGAATGTTCAACACATTCCATCCTGAGGTCACTGTCCATCTGGATGCTCATAATACTACCACTCCCCCCCTTCTTAATTTCTCAACCTTATCTCCAGTGACTTTTCCTCTAGGCCACTCAGTTGTCTATTCCCATGTCCTCAATTCCTTCTTTCCTGGTACAGGGACTCAGCTCTCCCCTTGGGAGATCCATACCAGGTTTCTGGACCCCATTCCTTGTCATCCTTTCAGGAAGCCTCACTTTGTCCGTTATCCATAATCTCTCTTTTCCTACAGGCTTCCTTCATCAGCCTACATACACACTCAAGTCTCTACTAATACATTAAAACAAAACAAAAACAAAAACTCCCTTCCTGTACCCACATTCATCTCCAGATATCTATCACCTTTCTCATCCCATTCATAATCCAACTTTTTTTTTTTTAAGACCAAGTTTTTTTTTTTTTTTTTT